GCACCAAGTGGGCTCCGCCTGGGCACTGGCTGCAGCGAGGCGGACCCACACCCCACCCTCGGGGACCCCATCCAGCCGCTGAACAGGGCACTTCGCAGACCTTGGGAGGGGAAGGTGTGGTGGAGCCCACCCAGTTCCTCTCCTCCCGGGTGACTCTCCAGCGCAGCCTCGAGTCTCTCCACCGCAGGGGTCTCCTCCCGGGCCAGGCTGGTGGTCAGGAGCTCCCTTTCCAACCTCCCATCACCCAGGGATGGTCCGGCCTCCCAGGCGATGAGCGGAGCAGCCTGAGCCGAGCAGGGCATGAGGCAGGGGAGGGGCGGCAAGGCTGGCCAGTGCAGCGCCCTCCGACTGAGGAGGAGGAGGAGCAGCAGCACAGGGCGACGAGTGGAGCAGCCTGAGCCAAGCAGGGCGCGAGGCAGGGGAGGGGCGGAAGGCAGGTCCATATCGGCAGGCCAGTGGCGCCCCCTGGAGCTGGCACCGTAAGGCAATTGCGTAACCTCGCCTCTATGGACACTCCGGCCCTGTATGTAGCCGTTCCCAAGAGATGCCTTCCTCAATCTTTTCTAGTGCTGACATCTATATTGGACGATAGTAACAACTCAGACCATCTTGGAAATTTAAAAGCACTTTATTTGTAATAGGATATTATTGATTGTGATCTGTGATTTTATTGGATTTTATTGTTTTTATGAATGGGTTTACCCCCTTGTAAGCCGCCCTGAGCCCGCTTGCGGGGAGGGCGGGGTAAAAATACTTAAAATAAATAAATAAATAAATAAATAGCCTTATCAAGATACCACATTTTAACTACTGAAGAGACCACAAGGACAATGAAGAGAAACACTGTGTCCATGGAAGCTTTCCAAACTCTGCAGACTTTGCCGCATGATGCAATGAAAAGCCAGACCCAGAGCCAGATTCCTGCAGGCCAGAAACTAAGGGAGTGTACAATGGCTATCTGCCAGTTGAGCATCAGGCTCACCACATGCATCCATCAGCTCAGAGAATGGAATGAAAATCAGTTTGCTCCTGGCAAAATGGTTGCTTCAGAATCACTCAAATATATAGAAAGATTATTTGGCTGACCATACAGAGAAATGTGCATCTTAGCTGTGGTTAGGTTTATAAACAGCAGATAAGTTGCCCAGCATTCTCAAGTATATAACCTAAGAGGAAAATAAATGAGAGAACCATCCAGAATACTCTTAATTTAAATGGGAGAATTAAGTATGTTTTTAATTCTTTCCCACTAAAATGAGTTTGTGCAACAATGCATTTAAGTGCAAAAAAAGGCTGGCTCGTGTCCTGAATCTGTTCATCTGATTAGAGAAACGTGAAATTTATTTCTCTCTTTCTTTTTCTTTTTCTAATCTTTCATTTCAGTGAGGAATTGTCTTTGTGGGAGAACAGCTGTCCCTTAACTCAGTGCTGACTGGTATCTTCAGCATAATAATCCAAGAGAGCTGTGAAGGAGTCCCAATTCTATAATTCCTCCAAGATAAGCCCCAAACCTCGTAACAGAAACTCAGAAGCCCTATGCTTACATGGAACATTTAATTAGAAAATTCTGCCAGGAAAAAAAAATCAAACTGGCCCAGCAGTCAACGAAGAGGATATCCTGATGAAGAGCCAAGAGAGTCAAACAATAGAAAAGTGCTTTATTTAGTTTTTTTAATCAGTCATTCTGTGTGACTGTGAAAGATATATCCTTGAGGCACGCCATGACCTTTTATTTAAGATTGAAATTAGAATCCAAGACTGCTTTCTCTGCATGGAAAGCAGAAAGCCCCAGATCATCTATATAATATTGTGCTCATTCTGAGCATTCCTGGGGCTTTCTCCAGGGGAAAAAAATAAATCAACTTTTTCTCTGGGTGATCTTCAAAACGGCTGCAGGGGAACATCTGTGAAGTCACTATGGGGAGGGGACTAAGCTAAACTCTGCTTTCACAATGGGGCTGAGCAGTTCACTGCCATAAACCATACCCCCCCCCAGATCTTTTCCCCATTTCCCTTATAATGTGTGCTTTAGCATTACAGTGTGCCTCGTTAAGGAAAGGAAAGGGGAAATGAGGAGGTTTAGAGGGGTTTGAGGGCAACAAGAGGTCTTAGTACTACCACTTTTGTGCAGGCATGATGGAAGGAAGGGAGGAGTGGGAGCTGGGGGAGTCGCTGAAAGTAAGTGGAGCAGGACTGGGGGGAATGTGGGCACCATTTTCACCAGTTCCTGCACTGCTTGATCCTAATGCCATTTAGAAGCAGTCCAAGGTAGGCATTGATTCTGTGACACCAGACCATTCAGTGTGCATGTGATTTCATTTACAAGACATAATGGACTGCTTACTCTCATATGAACCTACCCAATCTCTATGGTCATCTTCAGAAGCCTTGCTTTGGGTATCTTCACCAACTGAAGCCAGATGGGCAGCAACCCAAGAAAAGGCCCTCTCAGCCATGGTACCAAATTATGGAATTCCTTTCCCAGGGAGATCTGACTCCCTTCTATCATTGTCTTTCACCAGCAGATAAATGCTTTTTGTTTTGTCCGTTGTTCTCTCACTGATTCTCATTGACCCTGCTTCCCATTCATGTATCGATAGTTTTTATCATGTTATTTGTTTTATTTGTGTATATGTGTCTCTGTGTGTATTTCAACTGGTTTTTAATTGTTTTGTGTTTTGTTCACTGCCTTGGGGACCCTAAGTGGTTGGAAAGGCATGTTTTAAATAAATTTTTAAAATAATTAAGTATCAGTTGCCTTCTTTGTTTTTGATGTAATTTGACTTTACCCTAGATGTTTTTAAACACTGAACAATGCTCCCCTCCTACTCTTCAAGATATCCCTTAATTCTAAATTTGAGGGGACTAATCACCTTTTCAGTGCAATCTTAAACAGAATTATGCCCTTCTAAATTCATTGAAGTTAAACTCTGTTTAAGATTACACTGTTAATCTGTTAACAAATGAAGAAAGTGTAGGTATGACAATATCAATATGTACTGTTGAAGAAAGCTGTTATGCAGAGGTTCTACCTGGAAGAAAGATGGCTATTCTAGTATCTAGCTATGGCCCCGGTCACACGGGCAGGAAACTGCAGAGGAGAAGCGTGGCTGTTTGCCCTGGGGCAAACTACTGCACAGTTACGTGATCAGACCTCCTGTGGAGGTCCTGTGGAGGTTCCATGGCAAGGGAGAGGTGCCGATCACAGGACAAGCCAGCGCACAACGAAGAAGCGCGCGCTGCGGCAAACTGTTTTTTATTTTTGTGTACATGACAAATGCGCATGCTCCGTTGGGTGCGCATGCGCATCCACAGAGACTTGGACAAAAAACCCCCACCTTATTTGCAAGGGGACATGGGCGGGCGCCGGATGCCACCGGAAACGCGATCAGACGCCTGCCCTTGCCCCGCAGTTTCCGGAAACTAGTACTTCCAAGGTACTAGTTTTTTGCCATGCAGTTTCGGCTGGAAGCCTCGGTTGAGCCACGGGAGTGCTACGCTTCCCAGATGTGCTGGTGAGATCGCGCCCGGAAACTCCGGCTGTTTTCCGTCTCACTTGTGTGGCTTCTGTTACGTGTGACTGCAGCCCGATTACACATGATGATAGGAATCCATAATTAGATCCCCTACTCACAATTTAGCTGGAAAAGGCAACTGGAGACATGAGATGGGTCAAGATCATGACACTGAAGGGGAGGAACACTTCTGCTGTTCCTCTGATATATTTTTTTCTTCTTCCCAGGTTGTTTTATGCCCTCATGGGGACAGCAACAGGTACATATACTTGAGTAGTCCAGGTAGGGTTGCCAGCTCCAGGTTGGGAAGTACCTGGAGATTTTTGGGGTGGAGTCTGAGGAGGGCAGGCTTTCAGGAGAGGAGGGACTTCAGTGGGATATAATGCCATAGAGGCCACCTTCCAAAGCAGTCATTTTCTCCAGGTGAACTGATCTCTGTCGCCTGGGGATCAGTTGTAATAGTGGGAGATCTCCAGCAACACCTAGAGGTTGGCAACCCTAAGTCCAGGCTTATTAAAAACAAAACAAAAAAACACAACCCAGGGAATTCCCTACTATGTGACTCCAGTCAATATCATTTGCCCTGACTGCTTTTTGCAGCTAAATTACACATCGGGAGTGTAGGAAATATGTGTGTTGCAAGGTCTAAAATTCAGTCATTATAGGGTTAATGTGTGTTTACCTTGTGTGCTATTGTTTAGACTGACCTGGAAGGGAACCTGGCACAGAGCCAATGGGAAGGAAGCCTGGGAAAGTGAAGTGTATTTACTCACAATCATTGGTTAATGTATTCAGGTGATTTCCTTCTAGGGGTCAAGAAGAAGAAGAATCTCCATTGTTGTAGACTGTGTGGTCAAAGTGTAAAGATGTAGCCTTAGGTGTCTTTGTTGTTTTGTAGATTTCCTGTGAACCCTTCCCTTAGAAATAAAGACTTTTACATAGAAGAAAATGCCTCCTCTCCAGTGAAGCAAAGATCCACTGCAATCTCTGAATATTTAACTATTTTGCCAATTTTTCAAACAGGGAGATCTAACATAGTGTGTGGCTCCACAAAGTGTGCCGCTCATATTTAGAGGTGTTGTTGTTATTTCAGCTGTTTCTGGATTGACTCCAGCCTACTTTCTGGATTGACTCCAGCATACCTACTAAGCTATGCCTTAAATTAAATTCATTTATAAGAAACTGGCTAATTTCAAAAGAAAAGGTTTCAGAACCTCCTTTATAAGCAGCAGCTGTCTCATTTTGTCCAATTATTCCCCTTTCTGTCCTCTCCATACTAGTTTAATTGCACACTACAAAAGCACAATCAGGCCACGTTACGTTGGGCAGGAAAATGAACCATCACACTGTTTTCATTCGTTTACCACAACCAACGATCTATAAAACAGATTCACATTTCAGCATTTTTATTCAGTTGCATACCAGCATACAGAAGCCAAAGGTGAACACATGAAGCAATTTATTGAAGAAAATCAGAATGTTTACCTGGAAATGTTCTCACTATCTGGCATAGCCCTTCTTTTCTGCAAAGGAGATGTTCTATTTGGGGGAGAACATTTGCCTGAAAATAATGAGAAAAATTGTGATCATTTTCTTCCTTAAACTTACCATCAGTTTTTATTCAGTCTGTGCCAGGGAAGTATGCTAGTAAAACTGTGTGAAGTGCTAGCAACATTATCTGGTATAAAGACAGAGGAGTTGACTACTCACACAGGAAGGAAATAGTCTCAAGTCCTGTTCCATCATTATGTTTTTGGTGCTCTGACTTTGTGAACATTTTGATGTACACTATTGCCACATTGTATGACTATGGCAATGCATGTATTTTCCAACTTCAATATGTGCAATGAGAAAACCAGGATTGATGCAGCACACATTCACACATGCTAAAGGTTGAAAAAAGGTGCATTGCCCTATTACACAAAATGGAAACCACACATATCAGGATGGTTGTGGTAGATAGTCTCCCATTACGCAAAGTGGGAGTGTACCAAAATGACAGAAAAGGACTTTGGTTAGCCATGAACCAAATACATGGAAATTTAATATCACCCAATTTTTAAAGCCACATAAATATGGGTATCTCCAAGCCAGGTATGTAATTAAATACTAAGAACAAACTATCTAAAGCTTAGAAGGGAGGAAATGTGATAAAACTGACTGCAATTTTGAAATTAACAGCCCCCCGCCATTCACTCAAAAACACCTCCGATTGTCATTTGCTCTTCATGGATGTAGCTGTTGACTTGCCTAAGTCTATATAAGTCTAGGAAAGATGTTTGTAAAAGGGCATAAAGATTAAAATAAGTAAATCTTTAAGCCAAGTCTGTTCAGAGGAAGAAAAGATATGACTCCTACTTAACACCAAGAAATACTGGCCCCTTTTCCCCTTAAAATGCTGATTGTATGTTCTACACTTTGTTTTGCATTATTGCCAAGCATTCTTCAGTCAATGAGACGTTTGTGTCAATTTCTTTGGAATTTAATATTTTCCTGCAATGTGTGAAAGCTGAATTCCAGTTGTGGGTGGCTTGAATTACAGAGATTCACTTGAGGTAACAGCAAAGCAACTCACAGCAAAACAGTTGAAAGCCATCTAAGAAAGAAAGAAAGAAAGAAAGAAAGAAAGAAAGAAAGAAAGAAAGAAAGAAAGAAAGAAAGAAAGAAAGAAAGAAAGAAAGAAAGAAAGAAAGAAAGAAACTGTGGAATAACATTGTCTTTTCAGTGGGCATGTGACAGCTGTTAAATAGAACTAAGCACATCTTCAACTCTCCACAGAACTACTTTATAACAAGTCAGATATTGCTACATCTATACCAGTGTCCACCAGTTAAGATCTGCATTACAAGCCCTGGTCTTTGTGCCCTGCCTAGAGAGGTGAGGCAGGTGGCAACTAGAGACAGGGCTTTTTTTAGTAGTGGCACCTCATTTATGGAATGCCCTTCCCCTTAATGCTTGCCTGGTGCTTGTGCTGCTTTCTTGTAGGTGCCAGGCTTTTGATTAAGGGGTTGATCTTTAAACAATATTTTAGTCTGGAAACTGTTATTTTAAGCTGTCAGTGATCTATTATTATGATCTATGCTTTTATGCTGGTCCGGATATTTAAAGCTGGATTTTAGTTAATATGTTTTTTTTTCCTTAGTTTTTATTTTGGACAGGTTCCTGAAGAGGCAGAATAAAAATTTCCTAAACAAAAAAAAATAATAGTCTGACAAGAGGGGGCAACCCACGGGCCCTTTCAGAAGTCCAGAGAGAAATTATCACTTCAGCTCTTGAGACCCCTATTCAAAATAAAACATAAAAATGACAAGACACAATTCCCATAAGAATATGTTGTAAAACTTACCAAATGTCAAAAAATTAATATGACCGATTTCACACAAGAGTTGCACCACGGTCATGCCTCCCTTTGCCCTGCTACTATTGGTCAATTTCCCACTTGAAGCCGCACAGCCGCATTTTGGCCCGCGGTTTTCCCCGATTTCCCCCGCCGTTTCGTGATCCTATTTTTTGAGGATCACAAAACTGCAGGAAAAATCGGGCGAAGCCGCAGGTCAAAATGCGGCTTTGAGTGGGAAATTGACCAATAGAAGTCTATGTGTCTAAATGTGAGAGCTGTTGGAAAAATAGTCAAAAATACTTAAATACTCAGAGTTTCAGTGGATCTTGCTTCACTGGAGAAGAGATATTTCTTTGTGTTTTAAAATACTTTATTTCTAAGGGTAAAGGGTACACAGGGAAGCTACAAAAGTAACAAGAGCTAACAAAACATGGTTACATAGGCTTACCAAATGCCGGCGGGGGATCTGCAGCTCTTTAAAGGATCCCTGCCGCGGGGGACGGCGATACGCGGTGCCCCCGCCGTCACCAGGACCGCGGCAGGGATCCTGTAAAGAGCTGCAGATCCCCCGCCGGCATTTGGTAAGCCTATGGTTACAAGAGAAATTCACAATGGTGGAGAAACACCTTCTTCTTGACCCCTGGAAAGGAAGTCACCTGAAACCAGTGACCAATCATTGTTTGTAAACACACTCAGATTCTCAGGCTTTTTCCACATTGGCTGTCTGCCAGGTTTCCCTTCCAGGTCAGTCTAAACAATAGCATACAAGATAAACAAGTTAACCCTATAATGACTGGATTGTGAGACCTTGCAAACACATACATTTTTAACAAGAGCCTCTTTGAGCTTGAAGCACAGGCCAAATCACTCTTCTCCCACCCCCAACTGGCCCTGACCCTCCAGAGTCTCTGGCTC